ATGTCTTAGCATAGTGACATTGCTAATGATACTTAAAAAAATAAAATACAAGTTAAAGCTCGTTCAAATTGTGGCTTATGCAAATGACTTCTGCTTTACACATGAGCCGTATACATATAGTTTGTGATGATGAGTACTATAGATTCTTGTATGCCTATACGGTGGAATTCATCTAACCTTGTTGCCTTGTTGTTATCAAGTTTAGGATAAGAATTTATGATAAGTAAACCATGACAGCGAAACCTGTGCAGTCTATCAATTTACCATGGTAAGAATTTGTTAGCATGTATGTTCCAAATACGAATGTAAAATAATTGTTTTCATTCCAGGGTTGAAAAGTATCGACCGAAACAATTGGACGATTTGATCTCTCATGAGGAAATTATTAAAACCAGTAAGTCTTCAATCTTAAGATTATTCTGCATGCTTTCCGATTATAATTTTATTTCCATTGCAGTAAATAAATTCATCGAGGGAAATCAACTCCCTCATCTCCTTTTTTATGGACCTCCTGGTACTGGGAAAACCAGTACCATATTGGCTTGTGCCCGTAAATTATATACACCAGGACAGTTTAATTCAATGGTATGATCCTACATTATGAATTTAGAATTTTACACAATTTGTATATTGTGTATGATCTAGATCCTTACAGGTTTTAGAAATGAATGCCTCAGATGACAGAGGTATTGGTATAGTTAGGGGACAGATTTTGAACTTTGCCAGCACAGGTACAATGTATAAATCTGGATTTAAATTGATCATTCTCGATGAAGCAGATGCCATGACGAATGATGCACAGAATGCTCTTAGGAGGAGTAAGTCGTATTATTAATTTGTTTCAAGTCTGAACGATATGTTATATTAAGATTGTTTCAGTAATAGAGAAGTATACGGACAATGTGAGATTTTGTATCATTTGTAATTATCTCAGTAAGATAATCCCTGCCCTTCAGTCGCGTTGCACCAAATTTAGATTCGGTCCCCTGTCTAAGGATCAAATCTTGCCAAGATTGAATACGATCATTGAAACAGAAAAGTGAGTTCGAAATCTACAAAAGAAAAGAGAAAGAGAAAAATTGTTATATGTGTTGATATATTTTTTTATCATCCAGATTAAACGTTTCTGAAGATGGGAAGAATGCATTGGTAACATTGAGTGGAGGAGATATGAGGAAAGTTTTAAACGTTCTACAAAGTACTTGGCTTGCTTTTGGTTCGGTCACAGAGGAAAACGTTTATGCTTGCGTTGGTCATCCTCTTCCAGTTGATATAAAGAATATTATTAATTGGTTGTTGAACGAGTCATATGATATGTGCTACAGCAGTATCCTTTCTATTTCATGCACTCAATATCACATTCCTCGCCTTATCATAGTTCTTCCTTAACACGTGTTTGTACAGAAATTCAAGACATAAAGTTGAAGAAAGGCTTAGCTCTACAGGATATATTAACAGAACTCCACTTGTTTGTCAATAAAAGTACGTGTCATATTTCCCATAAGATTTAAGAAGATATTTCATATTTAATTATTTCGTTTCAGTCGAATTTCCAGATGATATACTTATGAATTTGATAATTAAGCTAGCCGAAATAGAAAAGAGGGTGTGTATCGGCTGTAGCGAGGCTGTACAATTAAACGCCCTTGTGTCAGCGTTCCAGAATGCTCGCGACATTCAAACTTAATTGCGTGGAAATGAAACGAATTTGTACTATTTAATTTTTTTACGACAGAATGAATAAAAAAATTTTTTAAGCAGAATTCACGAATTCATTTATTTCCTTCCCTAATTCTCCCAATAAATTATATTCTTAAGTTATTAAATTTATAGATCTACCAAAATAAAGTTGTCGAAGATCGCAGGTCACAAATCAGTGGCACACGATGCTCGTAAATTTTTGTCCGCGTGATCTCAATCATTCTTCGTCCTACCAAACAGGCAACAGTAACAGTTAGAGGAAACTCATCTCAACGATGATAAGTTTCTCTCGGTTTGCCTAGGTACATCTAAAGCAATCACTTAAACGTACAAGTGGAACAGCGTCTGACAGCGGTCCGACAAATATCGCTAGATCAGCACGCGAGTATCATACCGGCAAAAACACATTCAGACTTCGAGCATGCAACGTTTCCTGTGCCGGTGAGGCTCAACATTTCTCGCGCACACACACATAGGACATGTGGCGCATTCACGTAGGACAAAGTAGTGGGAAAGCATGGAGAGCGTTAAAGACAGACAGTGAGCGTGTCATATTTTCTATGTATGCGTGTGAAGTGGCTCCGGAATTCAATGAGTATTTCGTACATCTCGAATCTCGACTGTGATAAGTGGTAACACTCCAGATGAATGAAGACAGAAAGGAGCGGTGATCTAATAGCGCGTCTGAACAGTTTCGGATTATACTACTTGCCGTAACTGCAGGCCACGCGTAGCAGCTGTTCCACGCGCTGTTAACGCAAAACGCATTAACAGAATGTCAATGTAAATTGAACCACTGCTATACCACTAAATTGAAGCAGGCTTCATAGAACCTCGTCTGATTTTTCGATACAAGGTTTGTTAATAGTAATCGAATGATTAATATCGCTCTATGCTGCCCAAATTACTTCATTGGGTGCAAGCGCCGATACGCGTTATTATTAATGCCACTAATTAGGCGAAGGATGCAATTATAGTCCGTGAAACGTGAACCGGTTCTGCTTCATCTATCGAAGTGGGAATTCTCTTCGAAATTGCGAAACGCGACCGGAAATTTAACGAGTTCGCCCAAAGTTGCAAGATTATTTTTTGCCCCATTAAAGTGTCGTCAAACATTTTATCACTGATCAGAATACTTTATCAAAGAATTTTTTATCCTTTTAGTTTATGAAATTAGACTAGAACGAATGTTAACTTTTGAAAATCACTGAAATTGGCCTTCGTGTAAACTGGTACACGAAAACTTTCGCACTCGTGTTCGATCGGTTATAAAAAAAAAACCCGATTCGATTCCCCGTAATTTGTATTTCACGGTTTTTCTCATGCACGCTAGCCGAATATTTCAGCCGGTCGGCCGATGGAGCATGGATTTATCGGCGGAAAAACAAGCAGACTATAAAGTGTAATGCGTGAACGATAGCGCGTGGCGAGTTTTCGAAAAACGTCCAAGTTACCACTGTTTTATATCCGTTGTCGTTTTGCGCTCCGATTCGTTTCAGACCCAAGGACACTTTGTTTTTCATTTATAGGACTTCATTTTATAATTTATAATTTAAAATCATAGATAGAGGTGCAATCAGTGAAATTGTATAATACGTTAATATAATAATGCATTAAATGAAGCTTACGAAGCTTCAATGTCGAAAATGTTCAAACACATGAAACAACATCATAGCTGTTCCCAATTTTTATTTTTTAAAGGCTCCTAATCAGGGCTATATGAAGACAGAGTAAGGTAAAGGGTAACAAGTAAATGTAATGTTTCGAGATTTGTATCGAACATGAAGAAACAAGATTGATCAGTCAGTCTGGTGTTAATAATTAAATAATACTCGTGCCTGATATCAAACGAAAGTTTCAGCTTAATAAGAAGCTCGGCGGGGGTGTGCCTCCAGTAGCACGTCGATTCTCCGAGTTATTTCAGCTTGAAAACTTGGCGCAGACGTGCCCTTAACTTTCCGCTTCGAAATAACTAATTCAATTAGTATATCAGCGATGCTAGACTCCCTTCTAGTTCGGTTTAACTACACCCCGCACGATGTATCTCATGCCGCGTGAATACTCAGTATTGATAATCCCCATCCATACTATTCACCGTTCCTGGCAATGATCAATCTTTTTTTTGTCTTTTACAATATTTCTCTAAAACTCTTGACTAGCTTAAATACAGGATGAATTTCAACATGAGATCTCGCGATATTTGCTTTCTTTCAAAAAGATTTTTGACGTGGGTATGTGAAATATTGGACACGTAAGATCGAGTGGGTACAAATGAATTAGATATTCTTGGGCCCTCATCGATATTACACGGGGACACGTATTTTCAACTAGTGGGTACCCAGCCGGTGGAAAGGGGAGGAAAGCTAACAACGGAACTGGCTTGCTTCGGCTCAACCCCCAAGGGATTTTAACGAGATTCCGAGCGGTGAATATTTCGCCTCCTACTACCGTTACAACCTATCGTCCATTTCTAAACTCTCTATAATACCAGGCCGGGCTAAAGTCTCTACCGCTAACTTCACAGATTTCAACTTCCCAAGGACTTTCCAGATACAAGTGTCCGGACACTCGAAAAGAAAGAAGTGTGCTACTCCTCGGGCTGTACCAATGTACGAGCAGAGATAAAGAAGAAAATGCGGCCGGAGAAAAAAGTGGAAGAGAAAGCACGGAGCTACTTCGATCGGCCATAAATCCAGCCGATTCAATCCCTAAATCGAGACGCGGCCAATCGAGTATGAGCACATATTTTTCAATTTCCTTATTCGTTCCTCGTTAACCCGTTTGGATCGTTAACAGAATTTCTCTACTTATTATTACCAAAATAATATATCAGTTAGTATATAAATTATTATATTATACATGTATCGGGGTGGTGACTAAATAATTGCGGAGATTGTTGATAGACTTTTTATTTAAAATCCACAATCATTTTATTGCCAACCCAATATTATATAAAATATTATATGAAACGTCGTATCAATATTTGCATCAATTATACGAAATGTTGTATTAAGTCCTGAAACAATTATTATATGGAATGTAGTCGTATTAATTTTTTTTATAATATTTATGGGCACAAGTATATGACACAAATGGATGGATGTATAGTAACATCTAAGCTTTACTGACTTCTATTCATTCCCTCTCGAAATATTTTAACAAAATTTTCAGACAGTTCTGTCGTTAGTTTTAAGCAAGACGAAAGTTAGAAGGATGATGTGTATGCTCTTACCGGATGAGCACAAGCGTTGCACGATTTTTGACGAGGCGTTCGCTGTTCCATCGATCCGGAACCGAGGAAAGTAAATCTTTTTGCGGCTCTCGTTAAATATGAAACGTGAGAAACGAACTCGCCGTGGTCGATCCCGTCTGAATATATTGCTACAGAAGCTTTAATTTATATCCGAAGGATGAAAAGGCAATGATTGCCACCGTGAAATTTATTAGTCGTCGATTTTTCTAAAACATACTTTGCTAATTTATAATCTTAATTGAGTTGGAAAATGTTTTTTTAACAAATCTTGTTTTTCGCGTCGTTCTCAGTCCTACGATCTCTAGCAGAAGCAGGAAGGAAATTGTGGGAACGCAATACGGCGGCCGGTGCGTGGGAGGATTCTTAAACTCGTTCGAGTGTCTCGGAGGTCCCTTAGCCGCGGTAGCGTGATTGTAACACGCTCATTAAGATTCAGGGTTGAGCTGAAAATAGCGTCGAGATCGCTTGCAAGGACTCCTCCAACGCAATGCTGACATTAAGATCGTCTCGAGCGAGAAGAGTAAAACAAAAATAAGCTTAGTCAGAATATTTCGCAAACATTATTTCCTCGCATTGAACACCGATATGGAGGTGAGAAATGTACGGGACGAGGATTGGAAAAAAAAAAGCCGGTGATGGATGCTTGCCTCCGAAAATTTCCTCTCTTTAATATTAAGCATCGTTCAAAGCACTTTTACCAGGTGCGATGCACGCTCCTTCTTTTTTCTCACTCTGATTGCATCGATCACCGACGAGAAAAGAGATCTCGCGCTCGAAACATTTCATTAATAAACAGTTGGCCAGGGTGCATGCAAATTAGACGTTTTAAGGCAAGCGAAATATTTGAAACGAAGGGTATTGTTCTCGGAAATTGATTTAACGGTCGGTTATAATTTCTACGGTCATTTAATTATCGCGGCGCTCCTTATGCATATTCCGCACTTTATGTATCGACCGGCATCCAGTTTGCGAAGTTCGATCGATTGGAAAACCGTTCGCGTCGTTTTAAAGAGTTCTTCTTTTTTTTTTTCCCTACCATGTTCGCGGGAGGAGATGGAAAAGCTGGCCGGGTAAAGGGAAGCGAGGTAGTTTGCAGAAGATTGGAGGTAATCGGACTTCTTCAAAGGGAACGCGATACCTCGGCTCTAACCATAAGGACGTAACGAGTGATCAGATTCTTGGTTCGTCGTTAATTTGACGTTTCGTTACGTAGCAACGAAAACTTACATACTCGTACCACCGTTGTTTTCGCGAATTTTCCTTCCATCCCTTTTCCTTGTAAAGATATCTTCGGAGAACCATCGTAGCAGTTGTTTCGTCAGTATTCACACAAAATATCGTATCAAATATCGTATCAACAACTGTACGTATGAAACATCGCGTCGATTACTATATCAATCATTATATCAACTATTTATATGAAACACTGCGTCAGATATTGTGCCAAGTTTTATCTCGCATAAAACTGGGTTGTATCGGCGAACCGTAAAAATATGGTTAACTATTCAGTTGCTATGCTTCTGATCATGTTGCACATTTGATAGCATGTACAATGAACCGTTGATCCCCTCTCACAGTTTCTTTATTTCTCGTGAAATACTTGGGACGAAAAACGTGCGAAGATAGAGATCTCCTCTGGGATCGCGTGGAGAACGATCGTCTTTTTGGCGTACGAAGAAAAAGATTTCATAATGGAAGTGGAGTGTGTCAATCATACGTCAGACACGGCTATATTTTATATAAATGTGTATTTAATTATTACAGCGGCGGGAATTATTATTATTATTATTAAAAGAGGTGAAACTCTTTGGTAGAATTTCTAATATCGAATGAAAGATGTAGTTCTCATTTAAATTTGAATTAAAATCGATTCGGAACAGTTAAGAGACGCGAGTCAGAACGATTTTTAGACAAATCCTTTTAGTAATTTATAAAAGATAGTCAGCGTTTTATTCTTTTCGAGTTAGATTGAAGGAGAGAGGAAGTTCGTGGAAGAAAACACAGGTGTTTCGAGTGAACACGGCACGGTGGAATAGGTATACGGCGGTGCGGCTCGATGCTGATCGCGGAGCTTGACCCGGAGAGGGGTTGAAGGGGTGGAATCGGTGTTTGGAAGGGGATGGCGTTGTCGTTAGTGCCGTAAGGCGGCACTCGAGAACCTAGGACCACTTTAAGTGACGGACGACTGTCGGCCGAACCTGTTTCGAATTTAACTGCTACCCTAAGTAACTACGAAGAACACGTGAGCCGTTTTTCACCCTCGGAATAAACGAAACCTGACTTCGAATTCCAATTAAGAAGAGACTAAATCGCTGCTCCTCATCGATCTACTACGTCTGACATATGATTGACTCATATTGCTACTTCTTTCGTTATGAAATCAGATTAATTTTACACAAAATTTTTCCTGACAGAGGATGAAACAAGAAATGGAGATGAAATCATCACACGCTCGTATCATTTTATCATTTCAGAAATCTAACCGTAGAGTCTAACTTTCTGTATTAGATGAAATAACGAACAAAGAGAAAAATGTTCAACATTTATTTTTGACGATAAAGACTCTTGTCTTAATAAAAATAAATCATTAGACTTCGAATCAGGCTACGATATAATTTATAATAAAGAAGAATATCCGGAGACTTTATAATTAAGATGTTGCCATTTAAATCAATCTCTATTTACAGCGAGCCATTGTCTTGATCCAGCAGACGGTCTATCCGTCCCGTCGCAAGATTTACATTCTGAAGCATCGACGCGCAATTAAGGGAACCGAGTCCCAGGCCTCGCACGCTCCGCGGCCCGGTTTTAATGGTGGCTCGCTAAAAAACGCTGGCACGCTCCGAGTGCTCGTCCCGCGTGAAATTTAGTATCATTACGCGGAGGGGGACACAATCTCGCGGCATTGTCGCCGCGGGAAACGACGATCGCCGACCGTCTACACCGCGATAAATTATGAAACGGCTGAAACAGCGCCGGGATACCTATCTTTCGGCTGCGTGCAAATACGGGTTTGTTAGAACCCTCTGTTTGCCCTGTTAACTGTTTCGCGCGCGAGCATACACAGCCGCCAGTTTTTCGGAGTACCGTTTGCTTTTTCTCCTATCTTCTTCCACCTTTTATTCGTTTGCTGATATTAGAATGGTCGCTCAAGGCCAGAAATCCTTCGTATTTTTAGCTACGTCTCATCTAAATACAATTTGTCCATCTAAACGATCTGTGTTTAAGTTAAACACGACGTAAGTAAATTTCTGCTGGTTCGATTTGTACCACTTGCTGTTTGTTTAGACAGGTAACAACTCGGCAATTACTTAGTATCACAGAAATGGGCAGAAAGAGAAGAGGCGGTGGTCAGAGTGGGCCAGCTTTGTGGCTTGTTGTCTAACTAATTCAAGGGAGACGAACTGCCGCGGCATCGAATCGATAATTCCCGGTCGAATCATTTAACGACGGTTTATCTATGTTTTCATATCGGTAATTGTTACCCTGTCCCCGCCTCCTTCGATCGTTCTCTTTAATTAGCCAGGGGAGAAGAATTTATGCGTCGGATGCTCGCCAGCTCGCGAGCATCGATGCCGTCGCGGTTTTCTTTTAATTATCACTCGGCAACGCCTCCACTGAAATTCTCGGCCGGGCTGGAAACGGTCCATTTACGCGCACGTATTTGATTGCAGCCCATTCGAGAGGAGGAACGTTCACCGGAGAAACAAGAAGCAACCGGAGAGAAGTGGCAGGAAAAGTAGGACGAGCTACGTCTTCTCCTCGACCGTTTCTCTCCGCTCCGAGGGTCTAATACCCGTTTTCGAAATAAAATTTCGCTAACATTACAGCGCGAACAATGTACCTCGTCCATCCTACGATACCAGACGATAGAAACATGTATTTCATATTTTTCAGATTGAACCGGCCAAGCATACGTAGACCGAATGTGTACATCTTATTTTGATAGAAACATTTTTTACAACAGCATGAAATATGATATCTAATCGGATTTTCAGACAAGATACGTATGATATGTATTTATGAAGAACGATGTGAATCAGAAATTCATCAGACACGAATATTCCATTCGAAGTGCAACTAATTTCCGTACAATTTTTATCATCGACAGAGACTGGAAAAGCTCGCGTGTCTACGCTCCAATTAGGACAAATAAAAATTGACAGAAAAATTTGTTTAACTCGAATACAGGCTTGAGAGGTTGGTTGACACGGCACTGGCCGAGGGGTTGCCACAGGGGGTTGGTGGGGGTTGAGCAGCTGGGGTGGCTGGAGCTCGAATGCGAGCCCGCGGTATCTACACGCTGGGTTCTGGGTTTGGCCGGGTCGCGCGGCGGCTCCTGCGCAGCCAAAGAGACGTACACATACATACACGTACACGCACCCACACCCGTGTACGATCGTCGAACGACCGAGAGAGAGGAACGAGAAGAGAAGAGTGGAAAGGAGAGTGGCAAAGGCGAGGCGAGTAAAAGCGAGCTGGCAAGCCAGACAAGCGAAGCTCCAGGCAGGCGAAGTGGACTGTCAGACAGGCGAAGCAGGCAAGAGGCGCACACAAGCTTCGCTGGTACGCCACCCAAATCGGTTCTCCCCACCCGGGGACAGAGAGACTCCGGGTGCACCCCTCCTCGGTTCGTTCTTCGCGCTGCCTCCTTCTCCGGGGTGCTTTCATCCGCCTCGTTCCGTGCTCGCGTTCCCGATCGCTTCGTACCTCCGAAGAAGAGGGTGCACCTTCGTCCGCGTTCGCGGTGACACCGGGAGTACACCCGTACGCATACCTCGACCCGGGTCGAAGAACGTGACTCGTTTGTGTTTCTGTGACTGTACAACTCCACGTCGAACAAGGATACGGTTATCTATTATTTTTTTGGACAACGTGTGCGAAGACGCACTGACCTGCCTCTCGTCTCTCGCCTCCCTCTGTTTTCTCGACGCAGAGGGTCGAAGAGGGGATTCGACACCCCCGCTTGGTTTTCGGATCGGCTCGGTTGATCGACCCTGAATACACTGTGCAGCTATTGTTTTTCTGTGCGTCCTCTCCCGTGGGACTCTCTCGAAAAGTGAACCAAGAATTCCGAGCCGGACAGGGATGAAGAGGTGCGACGTCAAGCTGGAAGGGAGGCTGCTGTGAGGCCCGGACAAAGCGTGCACGTTGTGTCAGAGAGACGTTCAGGCGCGGATACATCGGTTGCCAAGCCGGAAATCCTCGCAGCGGGCGACGGGGACTTCGTACCTAGGCCGGTCGTTCAACGTGGCCGATCATTGGACATGTAAGTACACTTGGCCAAGTTAAAGTGCACTGCGAACCGTCTGACTCGCCTAACGGAACGTATGTCTATATGGGAATGATTTCGATCAAAATTCCCCTATCGATTGCGAATCAATTGCTTTCTTAACGAAAGTGATTCGGCCATGAGAAGATACGAAATACGAATTCTAATTACTGGAACGAGAATCTCTGCACGATGCAAAATGAAATAGCTCTTCTTTAAAGAGTAGCTGTCTTTAAACCCCAAGAGCACGAGTCGCCTGTCAAACAGCGCTTCAAGCTTTAACTCAACGGGCAATTCAGTTACCGTTAAACATAATTAGATTCCCCTAATTCATTCGCGTGTAACGTTGGAATCTCTAAACGCGACTGTTTGTTATTGACGTTGTAATCTTGTTTTTGCAACATACGAAACTTCCCGGCACTAGAAATCGACACGTCAAATATTCGTACTCTCAAGTTCGCTAAGCGGCTTTCAAGATACGCTCACGCCGTTCTCGAACTTTGAGAGCGCGAGTCCATCGGACTCACCTTGAATCTTGAGCAGACAAAAAAACAGAAATTGAAGAATATCAACCGGTCTCGATGATTCTCAACTTTAGTGGCATCATGAATTTATATTTAATTTTAATTCGATGAAGAGCTCGTATGCGTCTTGTTAATATTTCTTAAAATCGACTTGCCGATCATTGTGTCTGTAGATTGTACGTGATCGAAGGTTCACCGAGAGTTCATCTTTTAGAGTTCACCGTGATAGATATTGGGATTCTGGTCGATTTGGAAGCTCTTGGCGGTCCCATGGGATCGGTCGAGTCGGAAGGCGGGTTGAAAATCGGCGAAAAGAGGCGGCGATAGGGAGAGACGATCGATTTGTTTGGCGGAGAGCGTGTGATACTGACAGAACTCGAACACGCGAGTAAACACTCGAAGCCCGATGCTTCGGGGTAGCAAGGGAGAAAGAGCGTGATAGGTAGAGCGAGGGAGGGTGGCCTAGGAAAGGCTTTGGGGAAGAAATTTCAACGTAATCGGCCGACTTCCCTCGAGGTCGGCCGAATAAATAGAATAAATCTGCTCGAAGGAGCGGAGCAGACGGTGAAACGAGACCGTTCAAAGCACGAAGATTGCGCAACTGCGAGACGAAACGGGAAATCAAGGAGAGAAATTCAAAAAGTACATACTGGCTGAAAAACCTATAAAAAATGGACCAATTCTTCTGTACACAAAGCGTGTTCCTTTAAATGCTAATATTAATCCATTCAACGGCTTCACAACTCAGAGCTTAAAACGGTAGAGTGGCTGTACAATCTAGCAAAAATGCACCGATACACGAAATGCTAATATTCATTTAATCGTTGAATTACTTTTACGTTTTTTACTAATCAATTTAACGTACATAGATGTTCTTTAACAAAAAAAAAAATTATTTCAAAACTAGAACGAGAATACTTCGTTTGGCAAACAATTTTTTTGTCAAAACGATAATCTCGTGGCGAGAGTCGAAAATTCAAAAGGTTTCCGACTAGGTGCACAGTTTGTAAAGGGTTGTAAAATTCGCGACAGGGGTCCAGTCGGCGTTGCGTTTTGTGAAACATAGAGGCTCACCGGTTTGTTACAGTTAGGCGAGCAGCGAGCGAGCCACGGTTATCTGAAAATGGATTAACGTCGCTCACGAGGAATATATACACGGTCGGCGAGAGATTTCCATCGTACCTTTAACGGGCCGTTTCTTGGCCCTGCCTGAGCTTCCCGTGCACGCATCGCCTCTGCTAATTATTTTCCACGCCTCATCGTGCCTGAGCGGACTAACTTATTTCCTCTGACAGCGACAAGCAGTTTACCGAGAACGCTACAAATAAAAACATGTAGATCGTTCCACGTAACGTCTTAAAAAATTGCCAATAAAGGAAGCATTACTAATTTTTAAACACTGTTATCCCGTCTGTAAACTTCCTGTAAATAACCATTGTAACAGAAGTCATCTAAAATGCTAAGCTCTCTCTAATCCGAAATACTGAATTAATTGTAGTTTCCGTGTTCTGATTAATTCATTGTGGAGTTACAACTTGTCGATATATTATTAATGAAACGATGGTTGATTCCATTTTGCTGTTACAAAATCGACAAATTCTATACCGAAATACTAGGAGACTGTCTTATCAGAAAGAGTTCAAGTTGGCAATTCATCGCTAAAGTATCCGTGAACGGGGTGAATGGGGTCAAGATAGTATTTCAACTACGGGCCAGTATCGTTTTTACCCGCGATTCCGATAACTATCCGACGACCCCTCGAACTCCAGAGATACCAGGAATCGATTCGAAACGCGGCAGGCGGGTTCTCGTCTCGCCCCGAGGCATTTAGGCATCGAGATCACGAATTAAATTCGACGAATCATTAACGCCCTGTCCCCCAGACCTGGAAACGAGCCTAATCTCGTTTTCATGCCAGTTTAGCATTCTTTCCCGATCAGATATAGTATCATACATCATTGCAAGCATGAGGAATCTGACGAAGTGTTAAACAATTATAATTAATTTATTATATAATAAACAATTATAAATAAAATTAATACAATATTTGGTACAATGTTTCATATAACGATTTTTTTTGTAATGATTGGTAAAATTCATTTGGCAATGAACCATAGTTAACTAAATGAATACAGGACAATTGCAAATAATATACTACGACGAAAACTAGCAGAAAAATCATGCGTTCGTATGAACTGGGTTAATTTCTGGACAATAGACGCGTTTACCTTAATTCGGGCTAATTAGATCTTGACGAAGACTCGCGTCTCGTCGGTGTTACGGGTTTAATGAGTTAGAAATTGAAAACGTCTTTCCTCTAATTGAACGTTGATGCGAACCACCGACGCTTCTTACCCGCGAATCATCCCCAGCGATAATTGCGTCCCAACCAGTAGCAAATTGCTGCGCGTGTAATCATAACGCACACAATGCGTCGTCTCGAACAATTAGTTAGAGAAACGATGACAACGTTTGTTCATTAATATCAATCCAAACACCTTTAACCGAGATCATTAATCTTGCAAGACACAAATCTACTGTGTATTGCGATAAAATATGTTCATCCTCTATTATAAATTACATTTCAATTAGTCATCCGAGTAAATAAAATACTCAGATTGATAAATTGTAATAAAACTGAATAAAAAAATATTCAGCCTCTGTGTAATTGTGTGTAATTGCAGAAACTCGATCGACTATGTTGATGTTCGCTCCCATTCAATCGATGCTCTTCGAAGAAATACAATATTGAGATTGAAGGAGGATATAATAAGGATCGATGAGAAACGTTCGCGTAGTTGCACGGGATACAATTCCCCATGCAATTGTGAACTACCCTTCAATCAACTGATGCTGAGAAAATAATGCGGGAGTTTTCCAACATTGATTTCGTTCCACTGAATTTGATTCGTTTTCTACCCGTGACACGCGATATATCCTCTCTCGTTTCCCTGGAATAGGAGATGGAATAGTCAAGTTCCTTATTCACGAAAGGAAACCATTTCTCAACGAGATCTTCGAATTGCGCGACGTGCCGATAGCAGGGTAAGAAAAGAAAAGGGGGGGACGAGGAAAGAAAGGAACGTCGGGGAAGTTTCTGCGAAACGTAATAAGTCCGGCGAAGATTAGTCGGATAAAAAGAAACCGTCCACTCGCCGAGATAAGATTCGTAGCTTCTCAAAGGGCTCTCGGTATCGGCGGTGCAACTTTGACCTGACGACTATCAAAGTCACCTAGCAAAAAACGGTAAATCGTGCAACGAACCGGACGCCCGTCCGAAAAGGAATATCAACTGGCACTCGACTTCGCTCGATGCCCGGACACATTTGTAAAATCAATTCATTAACTCTGAACACGCCGATTGAAAATTTATGTAAAGAGTCGATTTCATCAAGCTCTATATTATTTATCTCAAACTTTAAACATCTCTTTTTATGGAAAATTAATGTCAAACTCGATATACCTCGTTCAAGGNGAGTTATTGAGAAAAAACGAAATTTTTTTCCAAAAGTTCGCCGTTTCGAGGCTGGGATGGTCGGATTTTGTCAACATCAATAAAATACCAAATAATCATATGTAACTTGTTAAATATCGAAGTTAGAAGAAAAATTCATAGAATCTTTCTTGTTGAGGACGTCAGGGCTTATAATTTCTGTATAAAAAGCTCTCCGCCATCGTCAATAATTAATTGAATATTTCCTTCTATACTTGCTAGCACGTAGCTATTTATTATTAGCATTGTTCTTCGGACGTCTGATTTCTTTTTAATTATAGGAAATGGGTTTTTCTAAGACACATAAACTTTTGGGATTGATTGTATAGCCAATACATCTTTAAAGAATAGTCGATTTGATGGATCTCTTATATTATGTATCTGCAGTTTTAAGTACCCTTTTTTTATGGGAAATTACTGATGTTAAATTCTTGCTGTTAAACTCGGTATATCTCGCTTAAAGAGAAAACAAATAATAATTATCAACGAGGTTGAAACAGCTCCCGCGGTGAAAAAGTTCTGCGGCTGGGTCGTTTTCGTTGATCACGATCAAGAGAGGATGGGACTATGCACAATAAACGGCGGTGGCCAACGAGTCACCGCAACGGTGCCGTTTTCTGCCGGAAGCGTTGACCAGGGTATCGTAAAGAAGTTCCCGAAATTGTTCGCCTGACTTTCCCGGCGCGAGCTTAAAGAAATTGAATCCCGGGGCTTCGAAAACACCGTGGCCTGGCAACGGACGACGGACGCATCTTGAACCCGTCCCCGTGAAGCCATTAAGGGGATCAACGAGGTAATAGGATCATAATAAGAACTCTATCGGAATGTTCAGCCACTTTTCCCTGCCACTGGTTAACGGTAATTTAACGCCACTGTGCTTCTTCTAAATTATACGCCCGCCCGACGAATTACAGAATTAAATGTGATCATTTGAAATCATTTTCGCACCGTTTTATGCACTATCTCCAATAATAGATTAA